TTTTATCAACTAAATTTTTTTTTTTAGATTGCAATGAGAATTAAATAGCTTCCAGTCTAATTATGATCAATTTTATATATGTATATTTAAGTAAATTCAATTATGTTTAAATAAATTCAATCTCATCTACATAGCTTTAAATAGACCTCTTTCAATATCATGTTAAAGCGATCGGGGCACTTGACTACTATGCCGAAGGACAGTTTCAATCGATTTAAGAAAAACATCCGGCAAAAGGACTCTGGAGTGTTGGGCACTTGTTGTCCTTGTTTGCTTTGGCAGCAAACGCATGTCCTGCTGGCGACATCCGACATCCTTATTTGCATGGCGTGGGCAATGGACGCAGGAAATGTCCGTGAGGCAACTGCAAAAACTGCCCAGAACAACAGCAACAACAACAACAACACTGATGGCAAACAACAACATGAACAACAACAACAACTACCTGCTGCTACAGTCGCGTCGCTACGGCGCTGCGTTGTCGCTGATGTCCTTCGCGCAAAACCGGAAGTAGTCAAGGCTCAAGGTGCAAAACAAGCAGCAGCAGCAGCCGCAGCAGGAGGAGCAGGAGGAGGAGCAGCAGGAGCAGTAGCAGCAGCATGTGGATGATGCATGCACACAGAGAGAGAGAGAGAGAGAGCGAGAGAGAGACTGTGCCTGGGACGCACAAACGGAGACACTCGTCGGCTCTGTGGACGGGACACGCGTAACTTGATTCGCGCTCTAATAGATAGATCCCAGAACAAAAAATAAAAAAGGATCTGTTGATTCCTTGCTGCTCCACCCGCGCTTTTGTTTTGCGCGAGCMGAGCTCAACAGGCGGAAGGAAGGAAGTGGCTCAGAAAATTCCCACGAACTGGAACCTTAGCTTAAGCCTGGCTCTATAGATCGCTTCCGGTTTCTCCATTTGTTTACGCGAATTTTTACGCATTCGCCAAGCCATTCAGACGAATGGATGAATGAATGAAACGCCAAACGAGTTATGCAGTTTCATAACAGGATGTTTACTGGTATCCCCAACATCAGGCAGGCATCAGCTGTACCCAACTCTCATCTGCAATGGGCAAGGACATAATCAGCTCAGCTCAGCTCAGCTCAGCTTGGCTCTGCGACATGTGCCCGAATTCCTGGAATCATTTGAATGGCGTGCAGATATTTCGAGAAAATTCTTGGAACCAAAGCTGCAAAGCTTTTGACGTTCGCATTTTGATGTGTTCCCTTTATTTTCTACTACTATTATTTACTACACTTACTTGTATCTAGATACTGTTTTCTGCTACTCCTCTTTACTTCAAACATTAATCATTATAGGTAAATCTAATTACTGTTGCTACTTTTTTCAACTACTTTTATTTGCTATCTACTACTATTGAGTACCATTTCCAGATAATTAATTCCTACTGCTATGTACTAAAACTTTGTGTGATTATTAATCACTTATTTAGAATTTTTTAACACTTTTTAAGCAATTTTTGCTACTATTATTTACTATTATTATTTGCAACCTACTACCACTCACTCCTAACTACTACTACTACTATTTTTTATTCTTACTCATTCTATGAACTATTGTCAAATTTTACTTACTGCTACTTCTTACTCCTTCTGCCTATTACTACTTCTTACTACTATCTACTTAAACTTACTACTATCTGCTACTACTACTACTACTATCAGTACTACCACAATTTGCTACTTTTATTACCTACTCCAATCACCTACTAATTACTTTCAGCTACTACTAAAATACTACTTTTAGTTCTCGAATTTAGTACTATTTACTATTTTCTACTACTATTTTTCTCTGTTTCTATTTTCCACAACATTTTTCATATTTTAAGAACTTTAAACACTTACATAACCCCATCACAATGCTTACAGGTTCAATTGAGAAAAGCTCTACATAGGCTCACTTCAGGTATCTCACTATTCGAGCATCAACAGCTGGCATAAAAGTCAGTTGCAGCTCTTCGACAAGTTGCAGCTTCAACGTATCATGCGACTCAACGGCACGCCCAAGCATTGCCACGCCCTCTTTATGCTAAATGTCACAGCCACGCGCCTAATTTTCCAGTTTCTTGTGGCAGGCAACGAAGCGAAACTGATAAAAAAAAAAAGTTCGTTTAAGCCAAGTACACAAAAAAAAAAAATCCAAAAACCAAAAACGAAAACAAAACATGAAGTGCACTTGCAAAGTGAAAGATGTTGACCGCAGCGCATCGAGGGGGCTATCGAAGGGGGTGTGCGAAGGGCAGAGAGAAACAGAGAGAGAGAGAGAGAGAGAAAGGGGGGAAGCAGGAGGAGGAGTGTCCAAGATGCTGCATGCGCCGCATGCGTGCGGAGTGCATGACCCCAATTTCTTTTGGCTGTTTGCTTTTAAGTTTTCGTGTTGTTGTTGTTGTTGTTGTTGCTTATTATTCAAAACGGCAAAAGGCGCCCTGCAGCATCTCCATTGCTGGGGCTGAGGGGCAGCCGGGTGCTGAGGCGCGACGACGGCAGACAAGCGGGGGACAACCTTTGTGGAAGGATGATGTATGTTGCGCTTTCAATTTGGAGCAGCAGGACATCTGTTTGGCCAACGGCTGCGCTACCTGCGCAGCAGCCGCAGCCCCAACAACCGGTTTACAGGTGCTAACTGGGCACCGACTGGGGCTCTGGACTCGGCCAACTGATGCTGGGCCCCAACAACGTTTGCCCCACAGCCCGCAGCTTTTGGCGGCCATAAATTTGTGTTTAATTTAAAAACTTTTCACTCTTCGCTCACATTTTACTGCCTAATTTATGGCGCGAAAAGATTTTTGTTTAAATATTGAAACTTCCCAGGAGCTGCACTCGGCTCCACATCCATATCCACAGCCCGTCCAGGTCCATCCCGGCCACTTGAAAGTGAAGTGAAATTTTTTTCCTGTTGCCTCTTGTAAAATTGGGTGTTGACTTGATGAGTTTTGGTTCCTCGTAGTTTTATTTTTTTTATTATTATTATTTTTTTTTTTTGCATTTGCATTTACATTTGTTTTGCTTTATTTTTCGTGCTCTGTTGTTCCCGTTTCCCTTCCCCCTCCTGCTCCCATTCATATGCAAATGTTTTCTTGCAAATTAATGAAGAGCGATTTTTATGTACAAATTTCAACAACTTTATTGGACTTCCAGCTGGATGAGCCCTTGCCCACTTCTTTGGCCATTTATCAAAGGGCTCCCATATATGATTTACAATGATTGCTAATGCGTATTGATATTAATTTTTATGCAATCAGATATGTTTAATGTTTGAGCTACTCCTATATAAGATACTTAATATTAAGCTTAATAATAAAATAATAATACAAAATAGATACATATTTTTTAGTTGTTTTCTTAAAGTGAACATATTTAAAAAATTAATTCAATTTTTTTCTCCTCATATCTACAGCTCTCGCTTCAGTCATTTTTATTTTATTTATATATTTATTTATTTTTTTTATTTTTATTTTTGTTTTTTTTTTTTTTTTGAGCGCCAAAAACAGACCAAAACCCTTTCTCATGCAAATCGTTTGCTATAACGGAGCAAATCCCTTTAAGTGCCGTTCCTACTGCTTATCTACGGTACTTTTGTTTCTACAGAAAAAACAACCCTTTAATAGACAAAGGATTGAAAAACTCGCACGTTGACTTATTCAAGCCGATTTGCGCGGGCAACATTTTTAGCCATAGATACACATGTTAATATACAGCATAAATATTTTAAAATTTTGCTGCATATAGATATATGTATATGAATTTACAATTAATAGGAGAAAATAAACCAAGCTCCCTCCGCAAGCAACTTGGCCTAGCACGCAACAATGTTGCTGCAACATTCCGCTCACCTTGCAACATTTGTGAGAAACACCCTAAATATGCACAGAAAACGCGTTTCGCTCAGCAGCTGGTATACAGCAGTTGTCCCGTTCTAACGCGCAGGCGCACCCAGCTTACCGCTCACATTCAGCCGAAGCAAAGAGGGATGACCACGAAAAATGTGCCTGTTTGTGCCAGCAGCGTTTCTGTTGCTGCTTGGTGCTGCAACTGTGCTCTCTCGCGCGCGCTCTCTTTCTCTCTCTCTCTCTCTCTTGCATTTACATTCGCGTTGGCTCTCTCTCGGCGTGGCTGCTGAAAAACAAATTTAAAAAATAAAACATTTTCTGCTTTCATTCTGTCTTGGATTCTTGCACTGTGCGGTTCGTTGCGGCTGCTTCGTTGTCTTGTCGCCAATTCGCTTTGTGGCTCTTACGTCGTGCACATCGTTCGGTCGTGTCGCGCGTCGCTTTGAAATTTTTGTAGCCCTCACAACATAAGCAGCAAATGCAAAACGCACCAAATTCGAATTTCGAGTGTGCAACAAATAATTTGAATACGAATTAAAAAGCATGTTCAGTGTGTAAGAAGAAGTAAAGCTGCCAATACTACAATTTCAAATACAAATCGAAATATTTTGGTAGCCACAAATTACAAGAAAATAAGTGCATGAACAAAAAATAAATCAAATAATTTGTTTTCCAAATGGTTTTTTAAAAGAGCATCAACCCAAGGCAAATACAATTTTTGCATGTGTCGCGTGTGTCTCTATGGCTCGGCTGAGTGCGATTTTTATATAGCAATTTTCTAGCGGCACTTTTGCCCCTATCGCTCGCCCCCGCTGTGAGCGTTAGCAGGAGACGGCCGAAAATTCGCCCAAAGCAAAATCCGCCGAATTCTTGTTTCACAACAGAGAAGCTAACGCAAAGCAAATGAAAATGTGGCGCGTGCACGTGTAAAACAAAATAATAATAAAAGCACACACACATACTAAAGCAACAACAACAAAATGCACATAACAGCAACAGCGAATTGCCAAAACATGTGCCGCAGTTAGCTGCAAAAGAGAATTGCCAAAAATACAATAAACTACTATTTTTATGTTGTAACCGAGTGTGTGCGTGTGAGTGAAGCAGCAACAACAGCAAGGCCGCCCCACTAAGGATTATTACACTAATAATAACACACACCCAACACAACACAACACACAGCACAACTARACAGCATTTTGTTTATTACAACAACCAACAACCAGCGAAGCAACAATAACAGCAATAAACATGCAGTGGATTAAATGTTTATTAACCGCATTTATTTGCTTCACAGTCATTGTGCAGGTAAGTTCTACACTCTCTCTCCCTCCATCTTCCCCTTGTTTTGCATTTTACTTATCGCAGTTTAGTGGGCTCAGCAACTTGTTGTTGGTTTTCCTTTGGCTCTTCCTTTTTTCGGTGATTCTTACTACACACATGCGCGCCTGTATTTTGCAGCTGCCTTTTTTCGTGTGTGCGTGAAGGAGAGAGCTTTTGGCGTTGCCAGCGTGGTTCAATGTAGGAGATGAACAAAAGTTAGCTTTTTTTTTAGCATAAAAATTAGTTACAAAATCTCAAATTCAACATTTTTTTTTTTTATTATTATTATTTATTATCTTCAAAATATTCTGAGGAGATGTAAAATTCCAATTTATTTTACAATTAATATATTGGTAGCATATTATTTTAATATCAGCT